CGACCTATTAATCCAACAGCAGCCCCACTTCTATTCCTAACTTACTGGAGGCAGAACGGCCACTGGAAGTGGTTTTCAACTGCTTCCTGTGGTTCCCCCGACTCTGCGGGGCAGGGGCTTCTATTTTTAGAAAGTGACCATTGCCATGAAGGTCCAGTCGGCCATAGATGCGATGTGGGGACTTGCGGGTGGCCTGGGCAGACTGGGTGGGCTCTTCATTCAGATGGTATTTTAAGAGTTCCTTTCAAGTGACGCATAGTGGAGAAGGCCACCACTTCCTCCTGAAGGGTAAGAGGGTGTGTCGAGGCCAACAGACGCTAGGACGCTTGGCCGTAAGGTGTGTCACTGTGTTTGGAGGGCTGGTGGCCTCCCCATATGAGGCTGCATGGCTGGCATCCATGAAACACCGAGATGTGTACACGCTCATTTGCATTCACCATGTACCTTCTCTGAGTATGACGGTACGTTGTGGATTTTTGTTCAGAATGGCTCAGTTTCACATATTCTGTTCCCCTCCAGTCAATGGGTCACGTGTTAGTTTGGGTTTCCTGGGAAGCAAATCCTGGCACAGGGGTTCACGTGCACGTTGCTCCTGTGGGAGATGGTCCCCGTCAGCACCCCTTGGGGCGTGGGCAAGCGAGGCAGGGATGGGAGACAGTCAAGGATGTCGGTGAGTCAGAGATTCCTCAGAAGGCACTGCGGGGCCAGGTGGCCCATTTCTCCAGCTCTCCGAGGCCGCAGGTTCTTCTGAAGGTGAAGGACCCTCTTTGTGGCCAAGCTGGGGCTCCAATTGACACGTAAGCCTGCAAACATGGGAGCAGGAAGCAGGGAACGGAGCAGGGAAAAGAATTCACAGAGCATCTGGATGGCGAGAGCTGAGGTTTCTGTTGGTTCTCCTGCCCCCTTGGCTGTTTTTTCTCACGGCTCTCATTTCATCACAGATGAAACTTTGTCACAACTCAGTATTCGTACAGCACTCCTCCTGGCTATGAAGCCTGATCTGAATGCTTTAGATGCATTTCTTTTTCTCTCTCTGTTTACTTTGCATCTTATTTTGTGCACTCATTTTATGCAAATCACACCCACAATGAAATATCCCCACGCGGCCACAAGGACAGCTAAGGTTAAAAAGTCTGATAATTCCAAGTGCTGGCGAACATATGAGCAACAAGAACTCTCACACGTTGTGAAGAAGACAGGACGGCCTATCTTATAAGGTTAAATACAGACTCACCATAGGACCCAGTAATACCCGCTTCTAGATGGTACCCCAAGAGAACGCACGTCCACACAAAGTCCTGTGCGTGGACGAGCACAGCAGCGCTATTCATAGTAGCCCCAAGCTATCTGGAGCACTCTGCCTGGGTTCAAGCCCCGCCTCTGCATGTTAAAATGCTGAGTGATGTTGGCTTAGAAACTTAGCCTCTTTGAGCCTCTCTTCCACATCTGTCTAATGGAAATAACAGTAGCGACCACCTCATAGGGCTGTTGTGAGTATTAAATGAGTGAATATGTCTGAGAGCTCCATATTGGGTTACTTGTGTGCCTCAAAAAGATATGTTCAAGCCCTAATCCCTGGAACCTGTGAATACGACCTTATTTGGAAACACGGTCTTTGCAGACCTCACCACCAAGGGCTGAGGTGAAGTGTCTGCTGGGACTGCTTCCCAGAGGCGCACAGCACCACCCAGGGCCTTCTCCACCGCGTGCAGCGATGAGAGACAAGCTTCACGGGCATCCCTTGCGCCAGCAGATGGCCAGGGGTGTGGCCCAGCTCACCTGTATCCTACCTGCGCCATCTTAACGGGTCCATCACCCCCGGGGCTGCCCCCGCAGAGCTCTGCCAAGCGCATGTCCTGACATCGGCGGGCGGCCAGGCGCGCTCACACACACATGCTTGGGCGGAGATGCGTATCACAGCCCCTGAGATGTGGGTTTTCTTCCAGATCAGATATGGGCCGAGGCCTCGCAGCTCCAGCAGAAGGGAGGAGAGGCACCGCATCTGAGTTGCATTAGCCAAACCAGCCCCAATTTATTTTTCCATGCCTGAGAATAATGATACATTTTTAGTCTTGTGAGATGCTGCACTTCAGGGAAAAGGCACAAAGACTCAAGTAACCCTGAATGCGGTTGTGGCCAGGCCCCTTCCGTGGATTTCTCTCCACCTTCCCGGGACTCCGAGAGACCCAGCTCCCATCCCCGGCATCCTTCATCCCACCCCGTTCCGCTCTCGCCCCCAACACCCCTCTGCAGGTTGCCTTTTATTTCAACACAACACGTCAAAGAACGAGGTTTGGTTTTGGGAGCCCAGGTTTGTTGCTTGCAAAAGACTGTCTAAATGGAGTGACGCAGGTGTGCTTTGGGGGTGGTCTGAGAGACAGAAAAGCCCGGGGACAACACCAAGCCCGTGGGCTAGTGCAGCCCCAAACCGGAAGCTTTCCAGCCAAGCAAGCACGGTGAGGAGAGACTGGATGGGTCTCAGCTCAGACCACAGTCATGATGAGATCCACGTCTGTTCTTGGCAAGTATCCGATAGGAGAAAGTCTGCCTTCCATCCTATACCACTTTCTGTTTGTGCTTTTTCTCCTTTATTTTAATGCAACTCCCTCTCCCCTTTAACACACCTTTAACCCTCTGTGACCTTGTGCACTCTCAGCAGCGCCGCCCTACTGAGACTTGTTCCAAAAAACCAGTGTCAGTCATTTACACATTAGTATAAATAAGCCATGGACGGGCTGCTTTTCTGGGCTGGAAGTGGCATTTAAGCCCCAGTTGTTCAGCGCTTGAACCAGCAGGCAGGCTGCGGCTGTCTGTATCTATAGCTGAAGCTGCTCCTGCCTGAGGTGGACAAAAACACGTTTGCAGCACATACTCATCACGGGCACATGGGCACACGTGCGTGTGCGTGCGTGTGTATAGGTGCACACGCACACTCTTCCAGGATCCCAGGGTGGAATATAAGTCACAGTTTCCAAAGGTCATTATGGGTGTTCCAGCACTGAGAAGTGCTGCCAATGTTGTCCTCCGAAAAGGAAGCAAGTGAGTGTTCCCATGCTGGAACGAGCCGGCTGTGTCTACCCTTGATGGTGGCGGCGGGGGCGGGGGGAGGCGGGGAGGTCAGGTCCCCGGGACGCTGATGACCCTGGGTATGAGGTGTATGGGGCTTTGCGCTTATTACAGAGTCGCGTTATAAACAGGACTTCTTTTTAATGGTAGTGGGCACCAACTCAAAGACGTCTGCTGAAAAACTGTGCTCTTCTCTCTGCTGACTCATTTGGTGGGAATTACAGCCCCAAATGCCAGCGTGTGGCTGAGCCGCATGACCCTCCACTGAAAAATAAGGACAGGATCGTTTCAGTCTTGCAAACAAACAACGGAGATGCAGCCAGATCTTCTTCCTCTGTTCGTTTTTTTCATTCACATCAACAGCTCTACACCCAGCATTCAATGTGACCCCCCTGGGTCAGTGCCTCCAGATTTGAGAAGAGAGAGGAATGGGTCACAAAGTGACCGCGCTGCTTTTTAAAATTTTTTTAAATTTTTTTGCGGTACGCGGGCCTCTCACTGTTGTGGCCTCTCCCGCTGTGGAGCACAGGCTCCAGACGCGCAGGCTCAGCGGCCACGGCTCACGGGCCCAGCCGCTCTGCGGCATGTGGGATCCTCCCGGACCGGGGCACGAACCCGTGTCCCCTGCATCGGCAGGCGGACTCTCAACCACTGCGCCACCAGGGTAGCCCTGCTTTTTTTATTTTTTAATAAGTGAAAAGGAACCTTGGTATGTAACAGAGGGAGGAAATGAAAACTCTGAATGGTCTGATTTTTCGGCCGAGTCCTAGAAGTAGTAGCGTGATAAATAAGCTGAAAGGAGAAACAAAGCCTGGACTCCAGCTCACTCTGCCACTAACTAGCCTGGTCACCCGGACTGCCATTTTCCCTCTGGGACCCCAGGTTTCTCATCAGCGAGATGAGGAAGTTGGTGTTGGCCAGAACGGCGCTTCCCTGGAACATAGAACCCCAGGCCAGCACCCACCCCAGGCGCGGCTTATAGGTCAGCTCATGTTCTCCGGCAGACCTCTGAACCCTTCTCAACCCTGCTCTCTGTGAGCCATTAGCAATCGGTCAGAAATCTAACAGCTACATGTGGTTGTCATATCCACATGTGCTGTGTTTGCCAACTATTTCCAGTAGTTTCCTGTCCAGGATTTTGGTAGGATTGCACTGCCTGCCTTTTTGGGTGACTAGTTCAGGCCAATGAGTCATGAGCCAGTGAGAAATGGGTCACTTCTGGGCTGGGGTGCCTCAGTGCTGCCATGAGACCCTCCACATCCCCCATGCCTCACAGGGCAACTGGAATTATCAAGTCATTGGGCAGAGGGCCCTGCTGACCTACAATGGACCTGCCCCATGAATGAGAAATAAGCCTTTATTTAAAAAAAAATAAACCTCAGAATTTGGGGGTTGTTTGTTACTTCAGCGTGTCTTGGCCCTTCCTGACTGATACATCATCCTCGGCCTCTTGGGCCCTGTGGTTTTACAAGTCTGGGTCTGGTGACTTGGCCGTTCTGCCTGATTCAGAGCTGTCCCTTGGGACACTGACATCAGACCAAAAAGTTTATGGCAAGAACTCCCATGATGTTAGCGCTCAGATCTGTTTATGGTCCTTCAAGGACAGTTTTCCCAGCTAGTCGAGACACACCAGAGCAGAGCCAATGTCCAAACACTGACCACACCCTTCTGGTGTCGGGATGTCCTGAGAAGCAACAGAACAGCTAGCAGTTCTACGTTCACCTCTCTTCGTTTGTACGACATTTGCCAGCTTGAAAAACAAGTTCTCACACCAGTTTTCCTTTAAAAATGGTGGGTCCGGGGCTGTCCAAGGTTCTGTGTTTTACTCCTAAACCTTTCCTCTAGACCAGTAGAAGCCATGACACTAAAGCAATGTGTGAAGACAGAGGGAAAGAACGCCACCCATGGTGCTAACCGACCGGAATCTTACTCACCAAAGAGGTAGCTTCCTCCAGGAATCATCCGGGCCCACGTGCGTGCAGGGCTGTGTAGGCGCAGAGATGGAGAGAAATGGACCCTTCCCTCGGGGCGTCACTGTCCTGGGGGTAGAGTGCAGTGTAGCAGGAGGTGGAGTCTGTCAGGCTTAAGCCTCCCTGTTAGAAAGTGACAATCCCGAGGTTAGTCTCCAGCAGAGAGGCTGAGTCACGTAACGCTCAGGCCTCTGGAGCCTGCAGACCTGTCTTCACAACCAGTTTGCCCACTTTACCACTTAATTCACTGTAAACGTGGGCCAGTTGTTTAACTGGACAAGCTGAAAAACCACCTGTAACTAACACAACACTGTTAATCAACTATACTCCAATATAAAATGAAATTTTAAAAAAAGTCATCTGTAAACCAGGCAGCAACGTCCATTATTACTAACTTATGTATGAGTGATGGAGCCCATCCTTTGTGCCCAAGCCTGCTGCCCGACGTCTGCTGGGGACTCCCTAACCGCTGGCTGCTGTCACCCCACTTCCAGCAGGAAAGGGACACCCCGACACTCGAGGGCACCCCACACGTTCTGTCCCTGCCTCCCTGTGCTCAAGAAATCTAAGACTCACTCCCTGAAAGAAACATCGGGCAAACGAGGAGGCTCTTAGGAGCCCGACAAGCCTTTGAAGGTGCCGGCAGCCCCATTGCTGAAGCTTTAAGTCCCGAGAAACAGTCACTATGTGAACAGAAGACTTGCATTAAATGTGCTAGACATGTCTAAGAGGATAAGAATACAGAATCCCTGCTCTTTTTTTTGCCATTTACAAAATTTTTATTCTAAAATTAACATACCGTAAGATTAATTTTCAAAATTCCATTTATAATAATGAACTAATTCAAACATCCAGAAGCTCACCCAGCCCTTGCTTTGCACGCTGTGTGCCAACCCAACTCACGCGTAAACCCACGGGCACGCGTGCCCGTGAACGTGGAGCCACCAAAGCCAGGACTCCTTACAGAGCGATGTGGTAAACACTCCCCTACCCCCTCATGGGCTTGACAAGCTTTTTAAACACTGGGATGGGATTTCTGGCAATTTTCGTTCCATCCTTTGCACTTCTCTGTGTTTTTTTCCCCTTGAAGTCTGTATGTGGAACATGCATTCCCTCTGCAATCATACTTTACGGTTAAAGTAATAATGCAAAACAATAATGCATCTTGAACTCTGCTCTTGAAATGTTTACACCTGATAGCGTGTTTCCTTTCCGCCACACCCGTGTGAGATACTTGGGGTTAGTACTATTTGACTGTTGCGGACACAGGCTCAGAGAGGCGACGTGAGTTGCCCAGGGTCACACAGCTCCTAACAGGGTGAGGTGGAGAGTCAATTGGTGTTTTTTCATGTAAGACAGCTCTTATCACTGAACCAGAGCCACCTCCTTGGATGGTGAAAAGTTCTTGGGAAAATCTTACTGCTGAGATGATATGCCTTTTTAAAAAATAATTAATTTATTTATTTTTGGCTGCGTTGGGTCTTCGTTGCTGCACGTGGGCTTTCTCTAGTTGCGGCGAGTGGGGGCTACTCTTCGTTGCAGTGCGCGGGCTTCTCACCGCGGTGGCTTCTCTTGTCGCGGAGCACGGGCTCTAGGCACACAGGCTTCAGTAGTTGTAGCACGCAGGCTCAGTAGTTGTGGCGCACAGGCTTAGCTGCTCTGCGGCACGTGGGATCTTCCTGGACCATTTTTTTTTTTTTTTTTTTGGAAAGATGTGGCATTTTATTAACAGATGGTCATAATGGAAATGTGACCAAAATTCACAAATAGGGAAACTGAGGAACACATAAACGACTAGAATCAAATCACAAGACCTGAAAGAATACTGATGGAATCAGCTCCATCACAGTTACAGTTCTGTTTCCTATCCATTTTTCTTTGAATCCATGTCCCCTGCACTGGCAGGTGGATTCTTAACCACTGCTCCATCAGGGAAGCCCAAGAGATGATATGTCTTTTAAACAATGGCACACGTACCTGTTGAAAGAAGCATTTCTCTTGCGTTAAGGGCTAGGAACTCACTCTCCTTCAGAGAGAATGCTGAAAAGAAGCCATCAGCCCTTTCTCCCTCTCCCTCAGCTGAAGAGTAAATATACTTTGGCTGTGTTTAAGTTACGAGAACGTAAAGAGAGAGAAGTTTACTAGTCGTGGGTAATCTATACAATCTGTAACTACAAAATCATTTCTATTTACTTATTTTGAAGGGTCTAACCTGGTATTCTTTTAAAACAACCCCTGTGTAGACTGCAGAAAGGAAAACTAACCATGGCAACCTGGTCGTGGAAGACAGAGAGCTGACAACAGACAGCGTGCGATCGGAGTCTGAGGCTCAGAGATCATCTGAAGCGGCACCTCCTGAACTTCGCTCTGTGAGCGATTTTCCTGGGGCTCTTGTTCAAATGCAGACGCTTATTTGAAGGTCTGGTGTGGGGCCCAGGACTCTGCATTTCCAACCTGGCATCTCAAGGGCCTTGGATCTGGTTTCGCAGCTCGGAAGCACGTTAGAATCACCTGAAGCTTTGAAGATCCTGGCACCTGAGCCCAACAGCAGACAGATTAAATCACACACCCTGGCGCTGGACCCAGGTGATTCCAGTGTGTGCGGCCAGGCTTCAGAATCACTGCTTACAACAAACAGTTCTCCAACCTTTAATCCCAGGAACACTTGACACGCTTAGACATGATGCAGGATTTTTTAATTTTTATTGGAGTCTAGTTGATTTACAATGTTGTGTTAGTTTCAGGCGTGCAGCAAAGTGAATCAGTTACACATATACATATGTCCACTCTTGTTTTAGATTCTTTTCCCACATAGGCCATTGCAGGGTATTGAGGAGAGTTCCTCGTGCTCTACAGCAGGGCCTTTGATTCAGGATCTTGAAGAGCTTTTCCTATCCTATTTATCACATTAGAAAATAAAACTAAGTAATATAAAAATTCATTAATTGATTCACTTCATTTTATGTTAAAATGAAAACTTGTTTTATGAAAAGTAACTATCTCACAAGACAAACAGAATCGAGCGAGGAGAGTGGCACTGTTGCCTGTCTGTGCCTCGAGTGTCTGCGTGACTAGGACACGGTTCGGGCCTCCCCGCTGCCCCTCCCTGCACCTGACCTGCCGCTCTTCATCTTGTTTCATCCCCAGCGACGCTGGCCCAACGTGGAACTCACAGAAGAGGAAGCCGAGCTCCGAGGGTGCAAGGTCTCTGTCCAAAGTCACACCGTGAGTACCAGGGCCTAGGCTGACTGACTCTAAAACCAGCACTCTCAACCGCTAGGCTAGATCCCCCCCCATGGGTGGACGAGACACAAGGGACTGGGTCTCATGCTCCTTAAGACCCCCGTGAACGTTTCCTGGAAGGTGCTCAGTGAGCCCCCAGCGTCCCTCCGTCTGACGCCTGCAGCCTGGACTGTCACGTGTCCAGCCTTCTCACTGCCCAGCCTGCAGTGATTGAGGCGTTTTTGTTTGATTCCGTGAGATTGCGCAAATTCACGCAGCGCTTCCTGTGGGTCAGGCACTCCTCTGGCATTCCATAAATACCAACCCCTTTTATCCTCATGGTAACCCTGTGCTGTAGGTTCAGTGTTGCTCCCATTTTACAGGTGAGGAAACTGAGGCCACACAAAGCCAGGATTTGGACCTCTGCAGTCCGGCTCCAGCTAAAGATCTGTCCTCTGCTGCGTCCAGTGACAAAGGGAGCTGCTCTGGTCTAGAAGGCCACCCTGAGGCGGTGAGGGCCTCTGCCTGGAATACTGGAGCATCTTTCCCTCCAGTTCAGAGCGTCCACTTTGGCACTGGGCTCTGGAGCCATCCACTGGCCCTGCCACTGCTCACCAGGGATTACCTCTGTCAGCCTGCAGTTCCTCCTCCGTTCTGTTACCTGCCCACGACAGCCTCTCCTCTGTACCTTGCTGGCCGTCACTGTGGCTGGGGTGTACTTCTCTCCCCCTTGGTGATGGCTTTGGTTAGTGGCGTGTGGGCAGGAGTGACAGCATGTGAGTTCTGAACCAAGACCTGGAGAGCCACAGTGGATTCCTCTTCACCCTCTTGTATTCCTGCCACCACCACTGGAAAAGCATGCCCGTGTAGCTGCTGGTCTTAGAATAGGCAACACGTGGAGCAGATCTAAACCTGGCCCACAGCAGAGCCACCCGGCTTACAGATCTGAGAGAAAGAAACACATATTTGCTACTGGAAGCCTCTGCGATCTCAGGGTCATTTGTTACACAGCATTAAGTGCCAAGTGTGTCATTTGATAACAAGGGTGGAGACGATGTGTGAGCGGCTCTTAGTGCGGTGTCTGGCTCAGGGCAGCCCCCGTGAACATGAACCATTATAACAGCTACTTCAGATGCAGTTTCCACACAGCCCCTCCTCTTTCTCCTTCCTTAGTCAGCCGAGGCTCTGCAGCCTGCCCACCCTCCCCACCCAAAGGAACGAGGTGCTCACATACCACGGAGCAACAGGCTTGGGAGCCTGGGCCAGGTTTGTGGAAAACGGGAAAAAGCCCTGGCCTCGGTGAATGGGGTTTTTCAACCTTATCTCGAATTCTCTTGGTGAGGCTGGTGGGTTTGTGCCTGACGGTGTTTTCTGAAAGGGTCTTTGTGGTATGAGCGTGGATGAAAAATGAGAAGCAGGAAGGAAACAGGCTTGACTTTGTTAAGAAGTGTTGCGGGTTTCAAAGGGAACTTGAAGGTGAGTCCAGGGCATGGGCCTGGCTCTGGGTTTACAGCAGGCCCAGGACTCAGTGCCAGGCACGGAGGGAACCTGCCGTCCCGAAGGTGTCCTGGACGCCGTCCTGAGCCTGCTGGTGCCACACCTGCTTTCTCTCGTGACGTCTCACACAAACACACAACTTCAGCTATTTACTGGACCAGGAGAGCAACCCATGATCCAATCCTTTTCTGATCATCTATAGAAGGCAGTAGAAAGGATCTGCTGTCAGGAGCTCATTCCTCTCTGAGCTGTGTGACCCTGGGCACGTTAACTTTAGCTCTCTGAGCCTCTGTTTCCACGTCTGTGATAGATGGACACTGTAATGCAGACCTCATAAGGCTGTGCTGAGGACACAGCAAGAGCGAGCGTGTCCGAGCTTCCAGCCCCTTAACTGTGGCTCGATG